CCCGAGGGCGGGGTTTATCTGGGTTTGTGATGTCACGAACCCGGGAAGTAACTTGTTGTAGTCTCTACCAGCCGTTTTTGTAGGCATTAAACTGCCAGAATTTTAAAAGACGATATCTCCGTTTGCAGTGAACTTTCAGCTTCGTAACTTTGCAGATATCGTTTATGCTCAAACAGCAACATTAGACACTAACTAACGTTAAAAAAGTGAAATCGCAATGAACCACACCTTTAATTGGACAATCTATTAATACTGCAAAGTTACTTATAGTTAGTAGAATGTCTGTGGGCTATCAAAATAAAGTGTTACCAAGTTTTATAACCTTGCACATGTGTTTTGATTGTTTGTTAAGCTGCTCTCACCTCCATAATTAAGTTTTCCCCATCCAGTGATCCAGCTCTCAGTACCCGCATCAAATGTACTACCAGCAGCCGCCAGACAAATGGGCCTAATATAATCATTGAAAGTCACAGAAGAGGAGAGCTGGACCAGTGCTATGTCATTTTCAAAAAAATTATCTGGGTTATATTTAGGATGTATGATGATTTGAGCCACAGTTCTGTTAATCTGATGGGGGTTTGTGCCTATTTGCCATTGACGTCCCAAGAAGATTATTGTGGTCAATGCATTCAATCTGTAAAAATAAAAATAAAAATCAGTCTTAATTCCACTGTTTATATATCTATATATGCAATGTCAATACATACTCCTGAAAGCACTGAGCTGCAGACAAAACCCAATCTTTATTGATTAGACTCCCACCACATACAAGACCTTCATTTGGAACATAATTAATGCTCGCTTGCCAAGGCCAAGACCCCCTAACTGCATTTTGCCCTCCAACAATCTTGGGGTTAAGGGGGACTCGGCCACACACTGATGAGAAAAAAAGAAGCGGGTATTCAATGTGGGAGATAAGATCAACATAAATATTTGTAGTCTTTTTTTGACATCTTTTACTTGCTCCTCATTTGAAACCCCTCCCTTTCAAATGCCTGTCATAATACCTAATCAATTATAAATGGATAAAGTCAAGTTCTACCGTATATCTCTTTCTCATTGAACATGCATTTGTAAGTCATTAAAGAGTGCAGAAACTTACCATTTAACTGGCAGAGTGAGCCTATGTTGAGAAAAAGAAGAAAAACAAATAATTAGATACTAAATGGATTAGCGATGTTTAAAGTGAAGTGAAAGAGATTACACAAAAGCAGTATAAAGTACACTGTAAAACAAGGAAAAGAATGAAAACACAGTAAACACCTGTTATGTGGTTAACTGTAAGTTATATTACCATGGGGTGAAAAAATTCTATTAGATTTAATGGGAAAAAAACATTTACTTTTACTGTCAAATATGTAATCTAATGTTTATGGATTTTGTAAGTAAATGTATTAATTAAAATCTATATTGTTTTCAACAACACACACTATTACAGTATTCTTAAAATTATCTGTTGTTGTTAGTAAAAATATGAATCACCCTGTAATTGATGGTTAAACAGTAAAAGAACATTCATGACGCATCACGTTTGATTGCATTTTTATTTAAATAGTTATCTTGTTATTGTTATCAGTTCTGAATATCAGGGTGTTATCTGTTACATTTTATGTTGTGTAGGTCATAGATCAGGAAAGTTTGTGGGTAATGATCTATATCCTCCTGAGAACCAGAAAAAAACAGTTTTATGCCATTACATTGTTTGGAGCGATGTATAGATATTTTATTAGGGCCCAAGCCAGTAAGGCGCAGGGCCCTATTGTTTTTCTAAGGATTATTAGGGCCCAAGCCAGAAAGGCGCAGGGCCCTATTGATCCCCTAAGGATTTTTTTTTTTTTTTATTATTTTTTTTTTTCAACCTTCCGGGGCTTTTTGGGGGCCTTAACATATTCAAAAACTCTTGAAAATTTGCACACGCATTGGAACATGCGGCCATTAGGACGCCGCAGAGGCTGGGCAATGCTTTATAAAGGATGAATTGACTATTTACTAATGCTTAACTAATGATTCATAGTGTGCAGTTATTATAAAGTGTTATCAATTTTTAATGTTTAAGTTTTGAATATTAACTGACAATAATACATGTTATATAATTATTGCTCATGTCAATTAATATAGTTAATGTTAATAACTGAAACCTTATTGTAAAGTGTTAGTAAAGTTTTATATATTGTTCTGTGTATCTGTGTGTCACAGTCTTAATGGTTTTGATTAACCCTTTAATTGCCGTATCCCTTAAAACCAGAATGTCAGAGGGTTACCGTAAATGCATGTGCCCGCTGTGCACCGTTCTCCTGATGCCACCGGGGTGGCGTTTGCACTGATGGCTTGGGCCCGCCATCGCTGCTTGCAGCTATATTTCATACTTTATTCTTTGTCCTTTCTAGAGGACGCCAGGACTAAGTTATTAAAAAAAAAATAGACACGAAAAGGCATGTATAGGCAAAAACATTCTGTTTTATTTATGAAGTTTTATTTCTTCATTCGCCAATCAGTTTTTAGGTTTCAGGTTATTGTACAAAGATGATTCTCAACTAGGTTATGAAAAATATAACGGAATGATTTGATATACTACTGTACTTTATGCAATATGTGCGTAAAATGTCCATAAATTGATATTCCCATTCTATACAATGTATCCATACATTGCATCTAATTTGCATTAATGTGTTCTTGGGGCAAACCATAATGAAAAAAGAAGTGTAATAATGGGAGTAATAACGTGGCAAAAGGAATATTGATCTATAATTTCTTTCCCTATTGACTTCTTGTGTCTCCCCAAAATGCCTGATTTACATGATGTTTGTCCTGGTGTCCTCTACAGAAGAAATGTATGAAAATTGTGCCTTTTTGTTTCGTAACAAAAAGTCATATTCCTATTTAAAACCCCATAACATTTTTATGCGATGTTTATTTACGACAAACAACTTGAAAATTAGCCAGATTTAAATGATAATTACAAAACATTATCATATTTTCCTAAGAGTGCTAAATTTGATCATTCTGTCAATATCAGTCACATTTAAAGACCATGTAGGGAGTGTTTACGATTAAACATCCAAACATTTAATATCTCTAAAAAGCCCTGAATGTGCTCTGTACAGGACATCCAGGCTTAAAACTATGTATAGTCTCAAGAGAAATTCACTAAAATATAGCTAATGTCCTCTACAGAGGACAAAAGTCTATGCCTGGGTCCCAGAAGGATATGATTTACACAATCACCAAAATGACTTTGGTAATGCCAGAGACATTGGCACATTTTTACAGTGTATCATAAATAGCCTATATCATAAAAGTAGTGACTCTTGCACTAAATCCCACATTTCCAAAGTCGTACGATAGGGCTGGGCGATAAAATGATAAAAATTATTATTGAGATATCATTTTCCACAATAAAACGATAACAAGAGGTCGATAAATGTTCACAACATGTTTATGCTTAACTCCACTGATCTGATAATCACTGCGATGGTTACTTTTAACATTTCGTTCATCACTTCTCTCATGAACTCTAATGAACCGAGATCTCTGTTAAAAATACGATCAGTAAGTCAATTATGTTTTTACATTACTTTAACTCATCAAAATTAGTTTTATATATATATATAACCATGTTGATTATAAACATTTAAGATAACTGAACCTTAAAGGTCCACTGAAATGCCTTGAAACACGCAGCGTTATGCTATGTGGTGACGTAATTTCAGCTGAAACAGGAAGACGGGGCGGGACATATTGAGCAGCCCCGGCCCCTTTTTAAATAGCCAATAGCGTTTTGTTTATATCACAGCTTGGGCCAGAGCCTTTGAACTCGGTAAAGCCGCATTTGACCGCTTATGACAGCCACAGTCTAATAGATTAGCTCTTTAGATTCAATATGAAACTGTTACTAAAGCAAAACTTTATACAAATTATAATGATGGAGCTTAACAGCCCCAATCCCTTTCATTAAATTCAAACGTATTGCATTATATTCAATGTATTCTTCACAAGGGCGTAGCGTCTTGTATGCAGGGTATGCAGGTGCATATGGGCCTGGGAGTATTGTGGGCCCGCCAAGCCGAGGGGGAACCTTTAATTGAAACGAGGGAATGAATAGAGCCCTGCACGGGCCCGGCCCTTCCGACAGCTTATCAGAATATTCTCGGCCTGAGTCTGACCCGAGCCCGTGTCTTTTTTCTCTCTCTCTCTTTCTTCCCATTTACACAGCTGCTGTTGCAGCAAATAGGCTAGTCCAGTTTTGGTTTTTAATGGCAAAGTGGTTATAGTTCTTTTCGTTTCTTTATTAAGTTAATTTAGAAATATGTTTGGAACATTT